CCCTTCTCCGGGGGGGGGGGGTGAAGCAGAACGCACATATACACACATCCCTCTCGTGCGCCAGGCTCCTTGCAATCAGACCTATGCCAAAAGGACGTCCTTCAAGAGCATGGGACCCTCCGCCGGCCAGAGCACACAAGACATCCAAGGGTAACATCCCCGGCATGCACGAGGGCATCCAACAAGCGCGAAGAGCACCCGGGTGCCCTCCCCCACCGAGCCTCGATCTTACACCTCCGTCCGGCCGTGGGCGGCCGCCCCAGAGAAGCGTTGCATTGAAGGGGCCTCGCCGTCGAGGGTCGGAGAAGTGGTCGTCCGCTCGTCGGCGGAAGGTATGAAGGGGCCCAGGGACACACAAACGTTGGCCGAGGCCTCCAGGGTCGGCGGCTTTTTTTGTTTGACATCGGCGCCAACGCCTCCAAAACCTTGGACTGACCAAGGTAGCGGGCCAGCAGCGGAGGGAAATGCTGGCTCCCTGACACAGGCCAAAAGCCGGAGTCATCAGCGCAAGTGACACAGCTCGAAAGACCAAAAGGGTCTCTGCGTCCTGCCAGGGTCGGCGGCACCAACTTAAGGCCCTAGCAATGCATGGGCACATATCTCGGGATTCCCAAAATCTTTTCCCAGACCTTCTGGGTCATCGACGACTTGGCCTCCACTTCCCATGCTTTCCACCGCTTTTCCTGGGAGTCGACGGTTTCAATCGAGTCTGTGTTTCGTACCCTCCTGAAATATAAAGGGGCCCAGGGACACACAAATATATGGACACAGATCTCAGGATCCCCCTATTTTCTCAGCTCTTCAGGGTCATCGGCGACTTCCCCTCCACTTCCCATGCTTTGCATACTTTCCTGGGAGTCGACGGCTTCGATCGAGCCTGTGCTTTCTGGTTCCCCTCCCCCCAGGGGGGAGGCGGCGGAAGCACGACACGCGGTTGGGCGGCGTCCGCCGGCGGACGCGGAAGCAGCGCCCCCGCCGGGCACCCGCACTCTGGGGGTGCAGGGCCTCCCGCGCCGGCCGGGTGGGGGCTCCGCGCAGCTGGGGTCCCGGACCCCCAACGTGGACGCCCGACGTGGGCAGGGAAGCAATGGGCACCATGCCCAGCAGCAAACGTTGTCCCAAGCCAACAGCGGCCGCTGTTGGGCAAGCGGCCGTTTGTCTCAAATGGGCACAGGCCGCGGCGGCGCGGACAGCGAATCCTGCTCAAAATGTACCCATTTTTCCGTACCCATGTCGTTCGTGCTGAGGTCCAACGCATTCAGAAAATCAAGACGGAAGCTGGGCCCCGGGACCGTCAAAAAACAACTCAGGAGGAAAAACCGGTTCTGGGGAATGGGTCGAGACTTCCGGCGCCGAGTTTCGAGCGGCCGGGCGGGGGCTCCGCGCAGCTGGGGTCGGGGGCTGGCTCCAGGTCGCCGCTTCGTGGGCGGCGGCGGGCTGGAGGAAGAGGGGCGCCGATAGCACGAAACCCGTCTAGCCCACCTGCAAGCTCGGACCCCATCTGGGCGCCGCCTGGACCGGCTCTCAGGACCCCAAGTAAGGGAACCCAATTAGTGGTACGGCCCTGGAGCCCCTGAATTCGCCAGAATCACTATACCAAATCTGCCGTAACCGGTGTTTTTTCCGGGTGACGGCAGTTCCGGTTAGCGGAACGGGGCGGGGGGGCGTCCCCCAGTACACATCACTAAACCAGGCACCACTGAACCCAGTTCTGCCAAGGCCCAATCCTGTCCCCTCTCCTCCGGAGCGGGCGGACCTTCGCAGGGCCCTGGGGCATCCGACGTTGCCCTTTCAGCGCGCGGGACCGAGGACTCTCAGCCCACGCTGCGAGGCCAAAGTCTCGGTCTGGATCCGTTTCGGCCCTGAGGCCCGGAAAGCGCATCCACGGGCCGAGGATGGCGAAGACTTGCTGAGAGCCCGTACCTTAGGTCGGGGGGGGTCCGCAGATCTCGGAGCTCTGTAGGAATTGTCGTCGCCACGGCTGGACGCGGCTCAGGAACACGTCAGGACACTGCCAGGCAGGAGGAGGTCTGGGGACAGGCTTCAGCCAACTTGCATCGTCAACAGAAGGAAGCCCTGGCGCCCTCATGCTTTGACTGCGCCATTCGTCCACCGTGACCGCGCAAAGCAGCGAGAAGAGGGAAGGAGGAGGAGGAGGAGGAGGAGGAGGAGGAGGAGAATGACAAGAAGCCCACGGAAGTGGAACAGGAGGGGGAGGAACTCGGAACTCGGAGGTCCGCGGACAGATGCCAGAGGGCATCGTTGCCGGGGGTGCGCACTACGCTGAGGACGCCGTGCAGACCAAAGACGCCCACGTTGCGTGGGCTGTGTGCAAGAGGAAAGCTCAGAACAGATTGCAGCCAACGCTGGATAGGGAGGGTCCCAGCACCCACCGCACCCCCTGGCCGCCTGCTCACTCTGACTCTGTGCACGGCCACGACCTCCTTGAAGCCAGCCGTCCCAGCCCACTCCTCCCCTCGAATCCTTCATCATCATTCGTCCCCTCCTCCTCCTCCTCCTCCTCCTCCTCCTCCTCCTCCTCCTCCTCCTCCTCTCCCTCCTCCTCCTCCTCTCCTTTCCTCCTCCTCCTCCTCCTCCTCCTGCTCCTCCTCCTCCTCCTCCTCCTCCTCCTCCTCCTCCTCCTCCTCCTCCTCCTCCTCCTCCTCCTCCTCCCCTCTTCTCTTCTGTCCTCATCCTTCCCCCTCGTCGCTCAAGTCTCGACCCCCGACCTCTCCCAGAGCACGAACTGACCAAGATTCCGAAGCGAATCCGGCCGTGGGCTCAGGGGCCCGCCCAGGAGGCCCCAAGAGAGGCAACAACGAGCAAGTCTCCTCATTCGCCTCCTTTCTCCATCCCCTCCCCTCCCGAGCCGAGTCTGAAAGCCGTCGCGCCGGAACTCCGATAGTTCGTCCAGGTCTGACTTGTGTTCTTTTGTTTCACGGACAGCTGACACCGCGCACACCTACCTGCCATGGGAACACTCATGCTGTGAGCCTTGGCTTGGGAGAGACACGCAAAGCACTAACATGGCTCCACGAGCTACCCGTGTCAATTATTGCCCAAGAGGAGGACAAGGAGGAGCAGGAGGACAAGGAGGAGGCTACGGCGGCTGCGCAAGCAACTGGGTGACTAGGTCGCGCGGCAGTCGCAAGCCGAGTCGCGCGGCGCGGTTCAACTGCCTGAGGTCACGGCTCTCCCCGGCGGCGCCTTACTTGTAATGAGCACGGTGCGACTCTGCCTAATACCCGCTGGTGCGCGCGCGATTGACGTTGGACCGCGTGGCGTCCGCGTCGGCGGCATCCTCAATTAGAATGGCCAGGCACTCCAACCTCGAACTTCCCACCCCTGCATGAAACGCACGCCTCTGTTTCGTCCTTCCCCTCGACAGCGCGAGTAGTTTTTGATTCAGCTGTGCCGATGTCAGAGAAATCCATCGTACCGGCAGACCCCTGCGCACAACTTGATAAGCAGAGGCTTCGCATACGCCTCCTCGTCTTCCTTCTCTTTACTGGGGGGGGGCGTGCTGAAGCGCAATGTCACTGCCGATAGAATCACCTTCTCCTTTGAGAACACCTTCATGATACACTGCGGGTCCACGTCCGACACCAAGCACTTGTCATCCGGACTCTTGCCGAGGACATCCAGGGAAGCCGCATGACCGGAGCAGCCGTCCAACACTACTTGGATCGGGTTTTGCCGACGGCGTCTGTGCATAACATGAGGTACATGTCCTCCTGCTTCATGCCGTCGCCGACTATCTTGACTCTCTTTTCCCATCTGATACTGGCGCATCATATCCGCTCTCGATGACTCGCTGCTGACGCCGTCCATCCCGACGCCCCCTGTGCGCGCAACCGACCCCACGCCTCGCGTCCGACCCTCCTGCGCGTGAGTGATCCATTGTGTATGCAGCATGTTGCAGCATAGCACATATCGGGGAGACGTAAGACCCGGGTACGGGGGACTCGGGTTGGCCCGACGAGGTCGTCAAAAAAATGACGAGGCCGAGCCTGCATTTTGACGAGGCCTCCCGCTGCAGACATCCCACGAAACTCCTCCTCGTCAAAATCCGAGGCGCGGTCGTCAAAAAACGATGGCGAACCCGAGTCCTGGCAAACCCGGGTCTTACGCTCCCCCGAACATATATCTGCTATCCTTTGGCTCAGGCGCTCTGACCAGTTTTGTGCTACGCAGCAGCAGCAGAAAGGATTTCTCTTGTCGGCGCTATCGGCGATCTCGGCGAGAGGTCCGCGGGCTCGGGGCCCGGGGCGGAGTGCCGCTGGAAGGGCATGCGACGCTGTGGGTCCGGGCTACCTTGGGGAGCATCATTGGGAGGAGGAGGGGGAGGAGGAGGAGGAGGAGGAGGAGGAGGAGGAGGAGGGAGGAGAGGAGGAGGGGGAGGAGGAGGGGGAGGAGGAGGCGGAGGAGGAGGCGGAGAAGGGGGAGGCGATCTCGGAACGACAGCGGCAGCGGGGCGGCTCAGACCGCGGCGGCTGCGCCGGCGGCGCCAGCGCGCTCGTGGCCCTGGCCGCGGCGCGGCCGCCTGCGGCGCAGGACTCTCCCGTGACTGGGTGCCTCGTACGAAGGATTGCAAAACAACCGAAGGATTGCAATCCTTCGGTTTTTTGCAATCCTTCGGTCTTTTTGTTTCAATCCTTCGTTCCTCTACTGCATGCTCGTTCTCTTCCTATCTCTTGCGCGGTTTCTCAGCAGCGGCGGGAGACCTACACAGATGGGCCCTCATCTGGAGAGAGAGAGAGAGGACAGCTACATTCCAAGCGGGGATGGCAACCCCTCGTCGTGGGTGACCTACACAGGAGAGGTTCGCATATGGACGTTGGGGTCGAATCTAGACGTTCAGTACAGCATCGCAGCGCGTATGATCAGGAAGCTTCGAGAAGCTGCGAGATTGAAGGCCCTCACGCTCAGCAACGAAGACCCGCAGCCGTTTCGAGGGTAAGAAGAAGTTCGATGGCAAAGGCAAGCAGAAGGGCGAGATCATGGTCGAAACTATTCCCCCGGACCTCGAGCGAGGCATCCGGAAACTTATGGAGGCGCTCGAGTCCCTGTGTCCGCCCAAGGTGTGTAGGAAGGGCGAGACGATGACGGTCTTCTTCGAGAGCTGGGACCAGGATCTCGGACTACTTTGCGATTGTCGATCAAGGTGTGACGAAGCTGTCCGAGGACGGTGTGGAGCTCACGGAAGATTCAGATATTCTTGGTTCGTTCTTCATGCGCCGGCTCAATATTCCGAGAGAGCAGCGTGAGAGACTCATAGCAGCGCTACCGAGTGACACCTTCCAGCTGCGAGAAGCTCAGACGACGGCGATGCGGATTTCTCAAGATATACATCACAATGAGCGCAGTCACCCACAGCAGCGGCGACCCTTCGAGCAGAAGAAGACCCACCAAGGTGGCAAGGGAAAGCCACCACCCAAGGCAGCTAACGTGACGGAGTACGAGGATGACGAGGGCCCGGAGGAGGATGAGGCCGACGACGACGGCATCGAGGAGCTCGTGCAGCGCGAGCTCGAGGCGTTGGCCACCGACCTCGGGGACACCAACGAGGAGGGGCTGGACCACGACCAGGCCGAGGCGGTCGAGAAGGCGGCGGTCCAGCTCTCGGAGTTGCCGGAGGCGCTCGCTACAGTACGGCAGGCCCGGGACAGCCTCAGGAAGGGCGGCTCCTCGAGCTCTGGGGGCGCTGCGGTGGCACCTCCACAGCGGTCTGGACGCGGGCGGGGCCGGTCCATTGCTGGCAGGAAGCCAGGACGTCGAGGCAAGTTTCAGCCGATCAAGGACACCCTCGACAAGCGCAAGAAGAACTCTCAGTGCCGCGTGTGCGATGGTTGGGGTCACTGGGCTGGCGACCCAGAGTGTCCAGGAGCACGGGAGGTTCAAGAAGTGACGGCTGGAGTTGACCTCGACGACGACGGGATGGAGAATTTGGCAATAGAGATGGCATTCCCCCTCGCCGTGCTGCAGAACACGGTGGTCGTGGGCCCGTCCCCGATGCATAAGAAGGGCGCAGTCGACTCGGCTTGCGCCAGGAGCGTGATGGGCACCCTGTGGTGGGATGACTACTATGGGCACTTGAAGGCACTTGGCCTCGACAAGCTTGTGACCTTCGAGTCTGTGCACGAGAATTTCAAGTTCGGAGATGGCGGTACGAAAGACTCAGATACTCAGGTGAAGTTCCCAGTGGCGGCGGCGAAGGTACCCCACTTCATCAAGGCGACCTGCTGGAGATTCCAGGTCTTAATCTCCTGTTGGGACGAGACTACCTGGAGTCAGTGCATGCCGAAATTAAGACATCACCACCGAGACGGATTACGATTGGACCTCACAAGGCAGATTTGTCACAGGATAGGTCTACTGGACACTACATGTTGGAATTGAATCCCGACGCCTACCATGTGCTGCGCAGCCACTCCCGGGACAAGAATGTCACCGACGAGTTGCCCAGGAGGCTCCGACCGAGGACAACAGGTGTCAAGGCGGCGTCGAGGATCATGGCTCTTGTGTGTGGAGCTCAGGCGGCCACCCCGACCTGCGGTCAAGGTCTCGGCCCGGCCGCGGAAGCAGTCAAGGGGGTCACCAGTGTCAGCCAGACCCAGAACCTCGAGAAGGTGACGTTTCACGACAGGCCTCCGGGAGGCCACGATTGCTATGTCTGTGCGAATCCAGCTGCTCTCACCTGCTCATGTGTGGCACCGGTATACGTGTGCGGCCTATGAGCGGCAGGGGCAGGCGGCCTGTGCCCTGGCTGCAGGTATGATGTGGACATGGTTGGCCTGGCTGACGGAGACTGCGCTAATCTCGTCCAGAACGCCACATGAAGCGGTTCATGAAGCGCGGCCAGCAGGAGCAGAATCTCGCAGGGATCACGAAGGCGAAGACCCTGCAAGACCACAACGTGAGCACGAACAAGGTGAAGAAGCTGATCCAGCTCGAGCATGCAGATCAGGTACATGGGCAGGCAGTTGCAGCTATCAGACGAGGACGCCCAAGGAACTACAGCCTGTTCGAGCTGGCGTGCGAGCCCAATAGTTTGCTAGGGAGAGAGTTCAACGCCACTGGAAGGGATCGAGCCTTCCGAGTACACCTACCCCAGTGCGACCTGCGCAGGAAGCAGACTGTCGAGGGCATTCTCGTGAAGATCATGAAGGAGAAGAAGCTCGGCAGGATACCAGTGGTTTCGATCAGTATCCCGTGCACTCCGTGGTGTACTTACCAGCGGCCTTGGAATTCCAGGACGCTGGCTCAACGAGTTCGATTGAGGATGGCCCGACAGGACAACAGTAATATTCTACGTAACATACTTTGGCTTTTGAAAGAGTTGCGGCCTCATGCCATACCGACGGGATTCGAGCTACCCTTCGTAAGTGACATATGGAATGATAGATACATGCCGAAGGAGCTTTTTCATATTCAACAGATTATTGGACTACGAGCTGTGTTTGACGGTTGTCGGTACGGCATCAAGACCAGTAAGGGCAAGCCCATTCGGAAGAGGTTCAAGGTCCTGACCAAGCACCAGCCTATCGTCGAGAAGCTCTACGAGAAGTGCGATGGGACGCACGTCCACGCGAAGGTGTTTGGCGGGAAGGACCTCAACCAGACTGGCTGTTACACCGTCTCGCTCGTGAAGGACATCGCCTCAGGACTGCGAACAGTTCGACGTGGCTACGATGTCCTGCCGGTGGCCCACGACACGGAGGTCACTGCCCGCGCCAAGGCGGTCCTCGACGCGATGGACCCGGCGGAGCGAGTGGTCAAGCTGGTGCACACCATCACCGGCCATCCGACCAGCGCTAGCCTTGCTAGGGCCATTCGGTTGCAGGGTGGCTCGGCTAAGGCGATCGCTGCAGCGGAGGCGCACCGCTGTCCTGATTGTGAGAGGCGGAAGCCTCCTGACATCTCCACGCCGGCGGACCTGAGGTCCAAGTTCCGCGAGTTCGGCGATGGAGTGGCTACCGATCTGATGACCCTCGCCGACATCAAGGGCCACCAGGCTCAGCTCCAGAACAACGTCGACATGGCCACCACCTTCCAGCTAGTGGCCCCGCAGGACGACAAGAAGCTTATCACATCATGGACGACCCTACTTACGAGATGGATGAGCTGGGCTGGGCCACCCCAGGCGAGTATTGCCGATCTCGGAGGTGAGTTCGAGAGAGAATTCCGCAGCGAGCTCGAGGGCATGGGCACCAAGCTCATTGCCACCGCCGCCCTGAGCCCCACGCAGAACAGTGTCTGCGAGCGGCATGGCGGCGAATGGAAGTACATTGCCAAGGCCATTATCGACGAGTACCAGATTGATTTCACCGTCCCAGGCGCTGTGGAGTGGCTCTGCACCGTGGTTAACTGGGCGAAGAACAGCAAGGTGGGGCCCTCAGGATACAGTCTGCGCAGTGGGTGCGCGCCAGGGACGACCAGACGTTCCAGCAGCGCATGGGCATGATTGCTGCAGCTCAGCGTGCAGCCCAGGCAGTGGAGTAATTATGATCGTCGTCTTTCAGCAGCCTTCCTGGCCAAAAGTCGCGGGCAGGCGGCTCGGCCTTCGAGCCACAACTTCAGCATCGGAGATCAAGTCTTTTACTGGCGTGGCCTGAACAAGGCCAAGAAGATGTGGAACTTCAAGTGGCATGGTCCCAGGGTTTTCATCGGCTACAAGGGGAACAACGTCTGGGTTTCGCATAGGAATGCCACCCTCAAGTGCTCCCCGAAGCACATACGGCCTGCGCTTCCAGAGGAGTGCGTGCCCTGGAATGAGATTTTCGACGCTCTGGCCCACGATAACGAGCCCGAGTTCCAGGAGGACACGCCCTACATGGAGGACCCCCCGGGGACCGACACCGACTACTATGACATGACTGCCGACGACGAGGAGATCCCAGGTCCTACCCATACTTACCCTACTGCAGGACGGCGTCAGACTGGGAAGCGGCCTGGACAGTTTGGCTACCGTCGCGAGGGTACGGCCGAGGAGGAGACCCCAGGGCCCCCACCCGATTTCGATGCCACTTTGGGCCCTGATCAGTTGGCCGACCCCGAGGCGAAGCGACCACGCTTTGCTCCCGAGCCCGAGTCCGAGACCCCAGTGGAGATGCCGCCAGCACAGCCGCGGCATCCAGATCACGACCCGGTCCCAGTGGAGCCCGAGGCGCCCTGCGAGCAGCCGATGACCGACCAGGAGCAGCACCAGCGGGCGCACTCCAGTCAGGTCCCGGACGCCTTCGACCCAGACCTGTACGAGCAGGAGCCCGAGACTCCGTGGGTCCACCAGGGCGCACCCGACCTCGACGAGGACCTCGACGTGGACGAGGACCAGGAGACGCCGTGTCCACCAGAACAGCAGGCCCCTGCACCGGAGCCTGAGACACCCGTCGTGGAGGAGCGTCGTCAACAACGGCGATCCCGCTACGACCCACTCGACGATCTACCTACCAGCATTCGGCAGAACCTCCAGGCAAGGAGGAGCACTACGAGATGCGATCCCCTCGACGGTGTGCCGCAGAGTATCCGACGAACGCTTCAAGATCGGCAAGTCACCAAGAAGCCCAGGGTTGACGAGCATCATGGAGCTCTCTCTGAAGGAGTCGGTCGACTTCGACTACTCCAACCTCTACTCGACCAGGTTCAGGCGCGTGGACCTCGTGGGCAAGTCGAGGAGCAAGGAGCTGACCATCAGGAACCTGACTGGCGGCAACCAGGTCAAGATGAGGAAGGCTATGGCTTCTGAATGGGACAAGTGGCTGGCATTCAATGCAGTACGGTTTTGTTCCAGGGAGGAGCTCGCCCAGCTCAAGCGGAAGAAGCCACAGCTAAAGGTTGTTGGTACCAGATTTGCTTTGACGGAGAAGGACACCGACACCTTCAAGGCGAGGCTCGTGGTGCAAGGATGTCAGGAGAACGACCTGGGCATTCGTACGGACGCTCTGACCGGGAGCCGCGACGCATTCTGGCTTACGGCGGGGTTTGCAGCACAACATGGTTGGGATGGCGCTTTCTTCGATGCCGAGAGTGCTTATTTGCAAGCAGAGGGTATGGACCGAGACCTGACGATCAAGATGTCGATGGAGAATCCTCCCCCAGGCACTGTCCCAGGACAGATCTTCTTCGCGACGGGTAGCATCTACGGCGCGAAGGACGCTGGCAGAGCCTGGTATTCGTATTTGAAGTCAGTTCTCAGCGGATCTCACATCCATGAAAGCAAGTTGGAGCGAGGTTGGTACTACTTGGCTCACCAGGGTGAGATCATACTGGTCATCCACTCCTACGTTGATGACATGTTCTTTGCCTGGAAGCAGTCCAACACCTACGTCCTCAAGATCATGCCGGAGCTCGAGAAGCGCCTGCACCTTGCCAAGAAGGTTGGCGACGTCGACTACCTTGGTACGAGGGTGCAGATGACGCTGGGGTTTATCAACGTGACCCAGGAGAAGGCGATCAGGGCGATCGAGCACATACCCATTCACGAGAACCGCACGAAGATGCCCGAGTAGGAGACGACACCCGAGGAGATCAGCAGCTTCAGGACGACGAATGGGCAGGTGCAGTGGGTTGCTACGAGGTCTCGTCCAGATGCAGCTTGCAACCAGAACTTGGCAGCCCAGCGCATCAGCAAGCTCAAGGTCCAGGACCTCATCAACCTCAACCAGCTGGTCACCGAGCTCAAGCAGAATCCGACACTGGGAGTTCGGCTCGTCCGGGGTTGAGTTCGCATCCCGACGGCGCAGCTGGTGTTCTACGGTGACTCCGCCTTCGCCAACGCCGAGGGCGAGAGGTCGCAGTGCGGTCTCGTCGGGGGCCTGACTCACAAGCCTGAGGAGGTTGCCCAAGGAACGTTTAGCGAGTTGATTCCGCTTACATGGTGCTCTGGACGTGTCCCGAGGGTGGTGCGAAGCACCCTCAGTGCAGAGGCCTATGATATCAGTGAGGCATCCGAGTACGCCGAGTGGTACCGCCAGGTGCTGACGGAGCTGAAGATGGCGGCGAAGCTTGGAGGCCCACCGAAGCTGAAGGACGTGGAGCGGCAAGCCGACAACATCAAGATGACGACCTTCACGGACAGCAAGAATCTCGAGGAGACAGTGGAAAAGGACGCCGGAGTCGTGCAGGAAACACGGTTGAGGATCGTGGTCAGCATGCTGAGGGAGACTTTTGCACCTACGGCTTCGATTTTGAGGTGGATTCTGACCCACACGATGGTCACGGATGCCCTCACCAAGGTGATGCATGCGGGCATGCTGATGGCCTTCATGTCCGGCCGTGACGTCAAGTTCTCGGCCCCAGCTCCCAAGTCGAAGAAGCTCGTCCCGCTGCTGACGTTGGCCACCAGAGCCATTCCAGGAGCCAGCTTCGACCTCTGGCCGATGGAGCGGACGAGCAACGATCGACACAGCCAAGACCTTACCATCGTGCAGTCGTGCAGCCGGGAAGGATATGCAGTGAGTTGGTTGTACTATTTGCAGGGTGTGGCTTTTGGAATCATGCTTACTCTTGTCTGTATGATGGTATATGTGGTTATGCAGAAGATGTTGTCTTTGCAGTCTGGCACGCCGGAGGCAGACCGGCAGATGGAGACGATGATGGTCAGACCGGCCATGCAGCGCAAGACGCAGCAGGTCGACTACCCTATGCAGTTCAAGACGCAGCAGGTCGACTGTCCCATGGATATCAAGATCAAACCCAAGCACGGGAAGGACGTGGGTCACATGATCCAGGTCAGGGATGTGATGACGATGAGTCAGACTACGTACGTGAGGGGTTTCGCGCCTGGTCCGAGGCGCCACAAACCAGTCCACAATTTCGAGGGATATGTGTTTTGTGGACAGCCTTACGATCGTGTGAGCACTCCGTGATTGTGCGGTGCTCCAACGATGCAAGGGGCTGAATGAGCACTCGGTGTGCGGCTTTTCTTCCAGGAATCACTGGATGCGTGTGAGCACTCAGTATATGTGCTCCACAGATCACGGGCACCCCAGAGAGCTCAATTTTTTTTCGTATTTCGAGCCCAGGGTGCGCACCGATTTCCGAGTTGCTGTGGTTTCTTAGCCGCAGGCCCCGCTGGGCTGATGTATGTTGGCTGCCGTTTGGCAGCGTGCAAAACCATCCCCACCTCTTCCTCGTCCTACCTCCCTGATTGCACGTGCGAGTTTTTACGCTAGCGAGTTTGTTTTTGTTTACTGCCTTTGACCTGTGAGCTCACTTAGCAAGCAAGCCAAACCTTTAGAGACCCTGGGCCCGAGCGTGAGCAAATGAGCGGTCAGCGACCAGCCGAACCTCCGTTTGATCAAGGCAGCGTTTTGATCATAGAATTGTGCAGCGTACATTTCGGAGGAGTGTGAGTGATCAATTGTGTATGCAGCATGTTGTAGCATAGCACATATCTGCTATCGTTTGGCTCAGGCGCTTTGACCAGTTTTATGCTACGCAGCAGCAGCAAAAGGATTTCTGTTCCATATCCATCCAGATATCGGCGATATCGGAACGACACTGCGCCGCGGCAAGCGCCGGGCAGAGCACGCGCTCGAGCGAGTGCCCAGGTCCTCGTTCGGGTTCGCGCAGGCGCGCTGAAGCCAAAATGGCTACGGAGAGGGAGGAGGCGGAGTACGATCCCGACGACGAAGATGAAGAGGACGAGGGGGGAGAGGGGGCAGCGTGGTTGCCCAAAAAACGGCCGTCACGCAAAAATCTGCTTGGCCCTGGCGCATGCCAGGAGTAACGAAAAGTATCGGCCACAGGAGGAAGTACAGGAGGAGCAGGAGGAGGAGGAGGAAAAAGCACGAAGCCACGGAGGAACAGGAGCAGGAGGAAGTACAGGAGGAGCAGGAGCAGGAGGAGCAGGAGGAGCAGGAGGAGCAGGAGGAGCAGGAGGAGCAGGAAGAGAGGGGAGACACGAGGCCACCTGCATCGTCTTCAAGCACGTGCGCCCGAGAACGGGCGGGTGCCCCGGACACGAGACAGGGCACGAACGGCCCGAGGTGCAGAAGCGCGGCAGCAGCAGCGAAACGAGTTGAGCTTGCCATCCTTTCGGCGCCGCGTGAAGAGAAAGAGGAAGGGGGAAACGAGGACGGCGAGAGAAAAAAGAAGCCGAATCCGAAAACAGCAAGCAGATGTACGCCGGGGTGGCTCCAGCGAGGCCGGCCTGTGTCCTACCGCGCAGGGGCGGGACGCGGCAGAGTGGACGCACCCTCCGGGTGGCAGCCCAAGGAGCGGGGAGTGGTGAAATACCGAGGAAAGAGGAGAGCGCCGGCTGCGCAGAGAGCGCACCGCCTGCCCACCCCAGGACAGGAAACTGGGGCCACTGCGTCAGTTCTTGATCACGGCTTCCGCGAAGGAGACCTCGGCAGCCACGTCATGGAAGATATCGTCTTGGACTGCGGCTGAGCGGACGACGAACCACAACGTAATATGATCGTTTCCTCTTCAGGACACGCCACTGCAATACCGAACATGTTTCTGCGCAGTGGTGGCCAAACCAATACGGCCCGTGCCGACATGACATAACAAACAACTGACGCAGACGAGCAGCGCGAATTACTCCAGAATCGATATCATGAGAGCCAGTTCAGTCGTGCTAGCGGCCTCGCCTCCTCCAAAGCCCCAGTGGCGGCAGCCAGAATCGCCGCGTCGTGTCGCGCTGCTGCACGCATGCCATCGCATCCTCCAGCGGGCGTGGTGCGACCCCGTCCGCGCCCGCCCACAGCGATCGCACCAGCAGCCACGACGACGACGACGACGACGACGACCGCGGCGACGAAAAATGGCGGCGACGACGACGACGACGACGACGACGACCACGCCGGCGGCGGCGGCGGCCGAGGGCGGCCGTCCTCGTCCGCCGACTGCGACCGCAGCAGCGGCACGACCTGCGAGGGCGCCCCGCCGCTAGCGACGGCACAGCGATCCTGCAGCCGGGCCCCTCGCGGCCCGGCCCCGGAGCGCTGTGCGCCGCTCGGCCGCACGTGGGAGCGACCCTGGGCACGACCCTGACCTTCCAGGAGGGCTAACAAAATAGCACCCGACTTAGAAACCCATCCCAGAGCTATTCTACGTCTTGGTTTCAGGCTGTTCCGCTCAGCTTTTTAGGCTTTCAGGTCTCCAGTGCCAAAAAATAGCTCTCTGGATGTCAGGGGAGTGGCCTCTGGTGCGCGGCTTCCAGGGGGGGGGGCACCTGGGGGCCGAAGCCGAGCGCGCAGGACGCTGCGGACAGCTTCGCGTGCAGCGACTCGGGCACCCCGGTGGGCCCGCACCGGTGGTCACTCCGGCGGAAGGTCACTCGTAAGCGTCTAGTCGCGCTGTGCTGTTGGGAGCGTCTGCCCAGCGTGTCGCGGCGGCGGCACTGGCGACGCGCCATGCCCTGCGGGCGAATGGCAGCAGGTCGGGCATGTCCCCCTGCGGGCGGATTCTGGACGAGAAGTCAAAAGGATTCAAGACGTGTTCAAACAGTGCCCAAGAAGATAGTCACAACCATCGCCCCCGACTATTTTTGCCCATCTCTGGATGCTCCTCCTGTCGGGGGACAGGCCCGACTTGAGGACAGACTTGAGGACAGCACGTCAAGAAGATTCAAAACGTGGTCAAACAGTGCCCAAAGATAGTCAAGACAATCGTCCCCCGACTATTCTTGCCCATCTCTGGACACTCCTCCTGTCGGGGGACAGGCCCGACTCGAGGACAGCACGTCGCTCCGCTCCGCGGGCGGGGGGCCGGGACGAGCTCGGGGCGTGACTGCTCGGGGGGGCCGGGACGCGTGGAGCACGTGCCGCGCTGGAGCCCGGTGGGCCCAGGGCCTCGGGCGGCAGCGAACCACCGTCGGTGCGTCGTCGAAGCATCGGCGACGGATGCTAAGATGGGGCCAGAGTGCGAACCCTGCCCCTGTACCCCCCACGATTTCTGAGGGGGAGGGTGGGGCTCACTTCGCCTCGGAAATCGTGGGGGGTACCCCCAGAGGAGGAGGAGGAGGAGGAGGAGGAGGAGGAGGAGGAGGAGGAGGAAGGGCGAAGATGCGGGGCAATGCTCCGGCCCCATCTGCTCCGACCCATCTGAGCCGGCGGCGCGACGCGCCGAGCAAAGAGCCCACAAGCTTGGCACCCCAGGCCAGGCCAGGCGGGAGCTGGGCGAGCGAGACTACTCGAGATGGGCCCGGGTGCGGGTCCATCCGGGGGCCTCCGGCGATGATCTGTCGGGAGCGGCCAAGAGGGGGGCGTCCAAGAGGGGGGGGGTGCAAATCATGGCCGGCGGCATGTGCGCGGCACAGGGGGTGGGGGGGGCAGGGACGTAATGAGATAAGAAGAGGCGCCATGAAATCTGGGGAAATATCATGGCCCACGCCATGGTGTCCACCCCCCCTTCTAGTCATCACCCCCACCTGTGCCGCCCCCGAATCTGAGAAGGCCCTTGAACCGCTGATCCAGGACAACTCGTTTGCCAGGGTTCACTGAACAGCATCCCCGTGCGGCAGAACGCGATCATCTAGGAGAGCTCTGGCGCACAGGCGGGAAGCCCGAATCAGCAGACATCCCAGACAGGAAAGCCGCAGCGCCGTGAAGCAGCCACGCCCAGAGCCATCGGCCTCACCTTCGCACGCCGGGGCCCCCGACGCCAGCCGAGAAACCTCGTCGTGCTTTTCCCGCGGCCCTCGGATCTCGAGGAGATCTGCGCCTCGACTTCTGCGTGTCGCTGGGCCCGCAGGACCCCTCGAAGCACACCTGGGCGGCGAGCCCCCTTGGCGCTCGCCCGCGCAACGTCGGATGGGGCACACACCGTTCTCGCCTCCCCCCCCCCCCCCCCCTTCCCTCCCCCCCCACCCCTGGGCGTGGGAGGAGGGAGGGCTGGTCTCTGACAGGTCAGGGGGGGGCCTCTTGGAAGCCCCCCTCCCGCCTTCCGCGCCTTCTCGGAAGCCTGCGACGCCCTTCTGAGAAACACCCTGCCCCCCGACGGCGCAGTTGATTGTTTCAATCTTGGCGGTCTCCCTCCTGCTCCTCCTCCTCCTCTTCCTCTTTCTCCTCCTCCTCCTCCTCCTCCTTCTCCTCCTCCTCTGCTTTCTCCGCTTCCTCTTTTCTTTGTCCGCTCCTCCTCCTCCTCCGCCTCCTCCTCATGGACCTCCTCTGCCCTCTCTGCTCGCACTCGCAGAAGGCCTTCTCAGACGACCACCTCCCTCAGAATGCGACCCAGGCCTCCGACGACTCTGCGCCAGCCTCCCATCCCAGATAGCCTTTGGATGGCCCCGCCCCCCCCCTCGAAACGAAAAGCCTAAAACAACGGCACTCGCCACGTTCGACGCTCGAATCGCCAGAGCCTGGGCGTCGGACGCCAGAGCCGACGCCCTGGAACTCGGGGAACGGCCGGAGCTTCGGAGCGCATCCAGCGGCGGCGACGAGCAGCCGGCTAGAGAGCTGGCAAACCAAACACCAGAACAAAAACAGTATGCACATACACACATTCACACATCGCTCGACTTCTCTCACTGCCGAGATGTATGGCATGTATGGGCCCATGGGCGCATCGACGACCCTCTGAAGCATCCGACGCCTCCCTGTGTTCGACAACTCTCCCTGGGCGGCTCGACCTCTTGAGCACGTGCTCATCATCCACGATACCTCCGTGAAGCCTGACGGTCGCAGAGCCCAGAAACGGCTTCGAGACGAGCAGACGAATGCAACACTCCTATCGGCATGTTCAGGACGTCCACGGGTGTGTGCCAGGAGATCGAAAAAGACGTCGCCACGACCTGTCCAGGGGTGCACATTCGACCAGAGCTGTGAGGCGGATACAGCCTCCCGAAGGCTGTCAAACATGGCAATGAAGTGCACACACATCTCAATCTCATTTAGTTCAATGAATCAAACCAGATGTC